ATTTGCGCCGTCATGAGGAACGCGGATCAGCGTGCCACAGGCACCCGGCAAGYGTCCCGGTCTCGCATGAACTCACACCAAGGCACATGACAGCCTAAAAGATGTATGCTGGCACCATCCCTAATATCTGTAGCACTCCTCTGACCCGGCAAGTGTCGCCGTACATGGGTGCTAATTTGGGAAACTTTTGGACTTTTGCCATTTACTCAAATGCAGCCAGGCTTTGGCTTTAGAAGGCAATAGCACTATGGTGTCRAGGTAACATGGAGGCACCGTCAGCTTCGTCACAATTTACCCGAACAAGCAAACATGAATTTGAAATTAAAACAAACAAAAGAATAACTTCATCTTCTGAAGGAGTAAGCTATAACTGAGAAATACAGTTATATGGCTAAAGGAGATGACCTGCAATCCGGGGAGCTGGACTCTATGTTCATGTTTTTTGCTGAAGAACTACAATGGGGCTTTGTGCAAACTGTGCAATTTCTGCACCTTGCCTTCTTTAAATGGAAAAACATCCCCCACATAAATCTCTGAAGCTATTTCAATTAGTATTTGTAAGATGTCTTGCGATTGTCTGATGAAAAGCTTTTATTGTAATTCTTCTTATATTTGAGAAATGACCACTGATGTATTTCTGTGGTCAAATTCTATAAATAATTATTCAATGACCAGCTTTTTTTTTTTTTTTTTAACAATTCACTCTGAAGCAGTAAAAGAAACCTAGAGACTCACTCTGAACATGGAAATTTCAGATACCAGATTTTTAAGAGAGGCACAACAGTAAGTATTTTACTGTGAAAAGAGATTACCGTAGAAACCCAGTCATAGTGTCAGAATCTTCTTTTTTATCCCTTGTCAAAAAAAAAAAAAAAAAAGGGAAGATTCTTCAAAACACCTAACCAGCTTCTTCATGCCACCATCTGTGCACAAAGCTAAGGGTGCACGACACTTTCAGGAACATTGAAGTGACTCAGGGAACACTGCACTCACTCAGCTGAGCTGAAGGGTAAAGCTCAACTCTCTGAGCTCTAAAGAATACAGTAACTGCTGCATTTTCTGTCTTTCCAAAACCAGTGTTTGGCTCCCTCCCAAATTCTCTTCCATAATCAAATTCTGTTACAGAACATGACAGTTTAACCAGTACTTGAATCAACCTCCTGTATGTTTGGAACTTCGTTTTCAAATGCAGAACTCAATGACTCAGCTGGCTGACATTTTGTACATTGGCACTCAAATCTATTGAGGGTTTGCACAATTGTACAATCAGACAATTTAGTAAATGTATGAAATCACTGCATTTATTATGTCCCCATCAGCTTATAAACTAGCTCTTCCTCTTCTGAAGTTCCAAACTCAACCTTAGCCCTCAAGTGAAACTGGTCTTCAAAAAGAAGGAGAGCAGGAGAAACAAATGTGAGGACTGAGATTCTTAGCAGCATTAGGTTACAAGGTCTGCACACTCTGCTTTCACTTCTTGTTATAGCTGCCTTTAGCCAGGAATACTGAACATTCACAAGGATTAAAAAAAAAAATCTTAAGGAACATATTGAAGCAAACCAATTCCTTTTGCATTTTTTAGTTTTCTTTTCTTCCTTGTGTCTTTCTCATTCATTCCACACTCYGATTTCATCAATACTGTACATTTTTGCTTCTGAACTTCCATGAGACACTGTGTTCACCAATCTTTCATGCAGACAGGGGCTGACATAGAAATCCTAATCATAGCTTCAGAATAACAGAGATTTACACTTACTTAAAAGCTGAAAATCCTGATCGTTTCACACCTGTCTATTTTCAAATGTACCAGTTTTGTTTTTGTAATAAAACAAGAAGACCACAGGGTAAAAATCTACCACCCACAATGTTTCTTTTCTTTTTCTTTTTCTTTTTCTTTTTCTTTTTTTTCTTGTGACAGTCATGGCATCCTAGATATTACTAACCTCAACAACATGCACACAGTGCCTGACCTGGTCATGCAGATAGAAGAGCTCAGACAGTGGCCAAATTGGATTAGTAAAAGTAATACAGGTTTCCATTCTGTCATCACCTATATAACCTAGGTATTTGAATACAGATTGTTATTAAGATTTTAATATTTGATCATTAAATTAATGACTAGATACATTAAAATCAGTGTTTCAAACTAGCATGTATCTGCTCCATCAAACTAACATGTATCTGCTGTATGAATTTTAGACAAAGACTATATATGGATTGGTCTATTTGCATGTACATCAACAATGACAGAAGAAATAAGGAGAAAAAGAAAAGCAAGGATCTCATATAAGGTGCACATTTAAAAAAAAAAGTAAAAGAATTATATTACATTTAACTATATAACAAAAAGAGATTAATACGGGTACCTGAATGGACATTATTCTGACAAATATATGGGCTTTATTTAAGCAGAACAACTTATTCTGCAATACTGAGAATTTAAAGTTATTCAGTAGGACAGAGTGAATTTCATGAGTTTTATGCCCTGATTTAAGTGTCTGTGAGTGACCAATAGCAACAGATCGTATCAGAATCTTTTAAAGATAGATTCTTGGCATTATCCAAACCAGGATTAAATGACACCATTATTCCTATTTCCCTTCTTTTCTCTTCTTTTTCTTCCTAGTTCCGAAGAAGATTTGAAAGAAAGTGATGGACATGAATTCAAAAAATTATTCTGTTAAGAAAATCTAGGATTTGATCATCAAAGACACACACAAAAAAAAAAAGGTTATTTTCTTTCATGGTTCAATCATTTTCCAAGCACATGTAATAGAAATCTTGACACAATTAAAATCAAAATGACATGGATGCTGTTGTTTTAGTTCTACATGTGCTAATAATATTCTAATACCTTATATACCCACATACACTTTAGTAAAAAAATACTTCTTTGATATTGTCACTGTGCAATTATTTTGAGATCATCCTTTCTAAGYTTTTCTGGAAGCCTTTATTATTATTTGTGGTGAAATTATAAAGATATACAGTGTTAATGCTATTCTAAAACATGTCTAGAGTTCAGGAATGCTTTTCTCATAGAAAGGAAGCAGACTGTAGGTCAGTGGTTGCCTTCCAGATTAGGAAAATGGAATTAGTGATGATTAGTCAGATGCACAGCAGACATAATGCCTACTTGTTTTGCAATAGCTGCTTATGTAAAATTTTGTTTAACTGACACAGTACACGGACTATTAGCAGACAGGTTTGGATTGGTTTTCAGAAGTACCCTGAACAAGAAGTTTCCCAAAATACTAAATTTTTGCTTAGCAACCCATTCCCCTATAATTAGACCCTTAGTTACAGACTGTGAATGATAATGAAGAGATACAAAGAAGGAAGCTGGGGAAGAAATACTTGTTTTGGATTTATTTGCATTATTTGCTTTCTGTTTAAAGTGCTGTCATATACTAAAAGGTACTTTAGCCACCCCTACTGAATCCTGTGAATAATATTAAAAGATATTATATCATTTGATAACGGAACACATTCAGTAAAGATAAATATACAGTAATATCTATCAACARCAGCAATTGAGAATGACTTTGATACACCCAGAGAAAAAAACAGAACATACAAGCATAGTTCTCAAGCCACTGCTATGATTCATTGCTGTGAGATCTCATTCAGACAGAATTGAGATTTAAATGATTCACAGAACACTGGAGAACAAGAATTTGGAATCAAAAAAATATTCTAGAGCAACAGCTGTCAAAATGTAACTTAGTATAATTCATAGAAAGCAAGATTTTTTTCCTAATTTTATCTGGTTATACCACTGATRTGTGGTGTCAATCTTCCCAGGTCTAGATCTTCAGAAGTTTGCTTCTCAATGGTAGTGCTTTCAGAGGGTGATGACATGGTTATAAATCTAAAAAAATGCTAAAACATTTTTTTTCTGATACCTCTTTTTTTCTTTTTTCTAAAATCACAGTAATTGCTGTGATTCCTCCGAAATCTTCAGGAGGCCTTGTCTGAAGTGAAAGCTACTTGCAGGAAGGGGAAAAAAAACCCCAAAACCAATATTGAATAACCAAAAGCTTCTTTCTACACTGTATGGATTTGATAGGCAAGAGAGCAGATGGCTATTCTGAGGTGGTGTCTCCTTCTAGCATTGCAAATCACCAGCAACTTCCTCCGAAGTATTGCAAATAGGTCTATCAGAGATGTACATGGTGTAAATGTTATTTTGCATATACATGGATGGAGTGTTGTACCCACAATACAGGTGACTTTAAGGAYGCCCTTTTTCAATAGGGCCATAAAGAACTGGGTTCAGATAAAGCTTTGACATGACAAGTTCTTCTTCTGCAGGATTTGGCCTCTCTAAATAAGGAAAGTGATTCTAGTTAAASGCAGTCACTTACTGACGAAATGAGTGGTCGGGTACAAAACAAGGACAGCAATGTATCCATCTATTCAAAGAACAAATATCATTTATTGTCACCGATCCCGCGGGCCAGCAGGGTGGACACCCCTGCACCTGCTCAGCACCACGGCCACCCCTCTCCTACCACGGAGTATCTACATCAGAAACCCGGGTTACGGAGTATTTTATACCAGCAAATAAAACACACGCACACACATGCCTAATCAGTCCTCCACGGGCAGGAACAAAACGTCTCCACAATAATCATATACATGTGTGTGCATATTATATATAAAAAATACACCCACATACGTGTGTATATATGTATTTCCCCCAGTGTTACATATATAGTCCCTAAATTACCGCCTGGGCTCCGCCGTGAGCCACAGTTACTGCGGTCGCTGCTCAACTGCGCGGGGAGCGAAGCGCGCCCCGCAGCCCCGAGCCCCACAGCACGGGGCCCCGGGCCCCGCGACTGCCGCCGCCCCGCGCAGGAAGAGGAGGGGAAGGAAAAGGCGCAGGAGGAAGAGGAGGAGGCCGGGCCTCCGCCGCCGCCGTCTTTTTCCGGGTCGCGGCCGCCGCCTCCGCGTGGGCCATGAGGGCGGCGGGCGGCGGGGACGGCCGGGACGGGGCCGCGGCGGCTCCGCGGGACGGCGGGCGCGGCGCGGGGCTGCCCCGCGCGGGCGGGAGCGCGAGCCCCGCGGCGCCCCGAGACCAGCTCTTCCTCATCAAAGGTGCGCGGAGCCGCCGCTCCCCGCGCAGCGCCCGGGCAGGACGCGTCCCCGTGTCCCTGCCGCAGCCGGGCACTCGCCCCGTCCCCGGCGGGTGCCGCGGGGCCCCCGAAGCGCCGCCCGCCCCTGCTGCCCGCCGGCCCCGCGCTCCGGGCAGGCCCCTGCGGGCGGGCAGGGCCGGGCGGGGCCGCCGGCCGCGGCTGCCGCCCCAGGGGACCCGCTCGCGGCCGCACTTGGTGTAAACGGGGCCCGGGTCGGCAGCGAGGGGCGAGCGCCGCCGGCAGCGAGGAAGGGGGGTCACACAGGGAGAAAAGCCTCACAGAGCCGCCTTGGCTCGCGGCTGGTGCCTGTGGTTGGTGACTCCGTTTGGCCTTACGGTGACACGGCTGAGCGGAGGTGTCCGGCAGCTCCCACCAAGTCACCACCATGGAGCCCAGCCCTGGCCTGTGGAGCACGTCCCAGTGCGGCCCCTAGGCCAGGCTAGACCTGCTCTGGGATGGGATGGATGCATCCCCCCAGCAGGCACATGGGAACGTCTCTGGAAAGCGTGCCCGTGCAGGGTGTTGCTCCGTGTAGCCTGCTTTGTCTACCCCTTGTAAGGCTTTCCTCCCCATCCCAGGGGCCACGTTTCAAGTTTCTCCTCTTTGAGGAGAAAAGAAGTAAATTCAGAAACAGCTATCATCTCTGGGGAAAAAAAAAAAAAAAAAAAAAAAACATTGTGGGCTTATAAACCTTGATGCAGTGAGCACCCACGGTTTAGACAGTACTCCAGGCCTTCCCGCTACCAGAAGACAGACTTTATATTTCATTGCCTTGAATGCTGCAAACCTCTCCATCACACTAATATGGGCGCTCGTGAAAGCAAACTGAGACTTAAGTGTGTTTGGCTTTCTGCCTCCTGTTTGGGGCAGTTCTTAATTAGGAGAGGAAAAACACAGGCTGAGTATCACTAGTTATAAAGGAAAAACTTGCAACTGCCTGGAAAAAAAAAAAAAAAAGGGGATTCCCATATGAATTGAGCTGCTTTTGTACAGCCGGCTCAGTTTTTTGTACCAAGGTGCTTTCTGATGCGCTATTGCTATGTGTTCCTTTCCTTTCCAAGAACTGGAAGGGATCAAGGGAGTCCAAGTGACTCTGGAAATGATAAGAAGAACTAAAAAGTGGGGAATACTTTATATCTTGGGAAGGCTTTCTGCTGATGTTACTTTCTAGGGGGAACTGGAGGTCTAGAGCAAAGTGTTGCTTRTAGCACAGTCTCCTGAGTGACTGGCAAGTTCTCAGATGGTCGCTGGAAGTACCAAGTGGTGCAGCAATAGTAATTGGATCTCCCTTTAGAGGAAGAGTGAGGCATAGTCATGGAACAAGTTGATCCTGAGAGAGGCTATCAGGGGAACAGTGTAAATTGAGAAATATTGTGAAAAGTTTTCTTGGGATTTAAATGATTTTGGTTTTGCATGATTTAAAAATATGTACTGGCCATTAATTTTTAAAAGGCACATTTTCAAAATATTCTTTCTTGCCGTATTGAGTTAATGCAAATAGCTTTGACAACTGTTCCTTTCCSTTTGGATCTGTCCCTGCTGACAGATCTTTGTTTCTTATGTTTTACTTCTAGTTTTTGTTTTTTTTCTCTCTTTTGGAAAAAAAAATCATTTTTATTTCTAAAACTTTTCTTGGCAGGTGGAATTTTTCTGGGTACAGTTGCTACAGCAGGAATGATGGCAGGTTTTGGCACGACACTTGCCATGGCAAAAAAGAAGGATCCAAACTGGTTCAGTAAGGTTTGTTCCTTTTAAGTTGCTTTCCAGTTATGATACACAGAGAAAATAAAATTCCTTATAGAAATTGTGATATATGTGGGATTTAGCTGTATAAAGTTGATGGTATGAGCGTTAGGCTTAATTGAAGTCAAGAGGAATAGGATAATTTAAAAATCAGTTTGGAGTTGACRTTGCCTAATACTTTGATACTTTGGATTAGTTGAAATAAAACAACATTAAACTTACTCTGTTTGCTGTAATCAGGCTACTGTTATATAATTCATGATCTTTTGATACTGTGATGTTCATTCTCATGAGCCAGCATCACTTCCATCATCCATAGTCCCATAGTAATGTAGGATTAGGAAGGGTGGTAACTGTGCAGTAGGGGTGGGAATGAAAAGGCAGGAAGACTGAAAGCTGTGGAAAATATAATGTGGAGTCATTTAGTTAAAATTTGAGCTCCCTGCCCAATTCCTACCATGTAAGGGGACTGAAAAGCATGAGGAGTAGATTGGCCCTAAGAGATCTAGCAGACAAAACTGCCTCTCATGCAGTTGCATAGYGTGATGAATCTGAATATTCTGTTAAAAAGCATAGAGTCACAGAATGCTTATGGTTGGAAGGGACCTACAGAGGTCATCTAGCCCAACCTCCCTGCACACGCAGGGTCACCCAGAGCACCAGGCACAACGCTGTATCCA